ACTTACACCATAACTGCTTAATTCTCATTTCTTGTCCCATTAAACTACTTCCGATCGTGAACCAAGTCCAAAAGGATCATATACACTGATTAATAACTCATACCACAAATATCACATCAATTGCCCATTTTGACCTCTCAATGCCACATCACACAATTGTGAACTCATATGAGGAATACACATACAATACATATTCACATATATACAAATAGACTTATTTCACTTTCAACCCTCTGATTCTTACATACGAGACTCTGCCTCACCATTTGGTCGAGATCACAATATACTCGACTCTTCTGAATGGGGCTCAGCCTCACCATTTGTGTCAAGTTCTCACATACATACACAATTCACAATCAATTTCACATTCAACACATACACACACCACACACATAAGTGGAACAAGTTACACAATAACATATACTTACTTGTTTAGCATCTAGGACTACTCATGTACCCTCTTACTAGGGCACCCTCGATGAGATGCAACATCATATACATATATCTAAGCAAGTTTCATACCACATTTTAACACACATTCATTTATGCATCCTAGTTGGAAACTCTACTATCACAACTCATTATACATTCATTTATATAAATAGTAGTCATACCACTACTAAGTGAGGCTAGTCTTCCCTCGATTCCTTTTCCAACCTTCTCGTGCTCTCTTTACTTGTATTCAAAAGTAACGAAGTGAGACATACATCCTAATAACTTGAAGGTAACCCTAATTACTGGGTAGCAAGTAAAATTATAAACAAGCAATAAAGTAGTATGTGTATTAATAAAAACAATATCATATACATACACAAGAATTCATTCTTATCAATCTCGTTATGCTCATGCAATGCATTCCTAATTCCAACTTGAAGTAATCTTTACGCTCGGACTAGGACTTTTAGTCATATAGAATAGGGCCACCATACCACTACTTAGACCAGGTAATGCTCTTTGCGTATGGGTGGTCTCATTGGTCCATCATGGCAGAGTTAAACTCTATGCTCTAAATCATCAGGACTTTCTAGCCTTATACAAAGTAGGACTACGACGCCCTACTGTAGTTTAGGATAACCTTGTGGATCATTCCATATCTTAGGTCCTCATCACGGCGGAGTCAAGTTTTACGCTCTTGATCATTAAGATTTTTCTCCTAAGTCTATCCTGGTAGAGTCAAGCTCTACTCTTTGGATCATTAGGACTTCCTAGACCTCCTCACAATAAAGCCGCATCCCCCTACCATAATCTAAGGTATTCTCGTGAATGCGATGCATGGTAATGCACATGCCATCTTAAATTCATTTTAATTAATACTCACATACTCGTATGCATATACTTTCACAATGCTGCTACTCTATTAGTTTACAACACAATACACATAAACAATTTCACAAACAAACAAGTAAAATGGTTACTTCAGTTACCTTTAACCCTTACTACTAAGGGTTAATAATCACAGTAGGCTCTTAAGGGCGTAGATTCATATCGGCCACTCCATAGGTACTCAATCTATATAATATAGTGCCCCTAAGTCAATTCTCAACACTTTACGTAAGCACTGATTTGGCTTTGGCTAAACCAAATACCTTAATACACAAATGATTCAATTAACACCTTTTGAATTCATACGTCTATTATTTATAATCATTAGCCCTATAAGCTACTTAAATAATCATAACAACCTCCTAATACATTTTTTCACTCAAATTCACCATTTAACCTACCTTTTAGGCCATTTTGAACCTAAATCCTTAAAGCTTAACCATTCAACTCTATATTAGTCACAAAACCTTAGTTCTATATTTAATAGCCCGTTTTAACCTTTTCTTTTAGATACAACACCTCAGAACTTCATAATTCAATTTCTCAACTAATGAAATTCAATAAAAATCGAGTAGAAATGAAGCTTGGGCTTGTGCGATACTTATCCAGCAAGTTATTAATTGAAGTAGATTCTAATCTCCATATATGGCTTGCCCTAGTAGATGGGAGCCTTTTGATTTCATGAGCTGATCACGTCAGCTTTAAGTGATCTTTGGACAATGCACCATGTTACGTGGTATAGTGAGTCCAATCTCACTTGTGCTCACATGTTATGCCCTGAATTATTTTCCTACCTTTCAATCCCAACACAAAACACCAATTCAACACCCAAATCACAAGCAATCTACTAATTACTAATCTACTCTTAATTTGCAACTAGTTCCTGAAATTGAAATTTAGGATGTTACAATTCTCCCCTCCTTTAAAGGAATTTTGTCCTTAAAATCCAAACACAAGCACTTACCTCATGAAAACTAATGAGGGTACTACTTCCTTGTATTCTCATCTGTCTCCCATATCACATCACTAGAAGCTATTCCTTACCAAAACACTTTAACCAACTAGATAGTCTTGTTTCACAGTGGTTTCTCTTTGACATCTACTATTTATTCCAGTTCAATTCGGTAAGTGAGATTCTCTTAAAGCTTTACTTCTTCTAGCTTGATCGCATGTGATGGATTTGGTTGATACTTCTTCAATTGTGATACATGAAACACGTTATGTATTCCAAATAAAGGTAGAGGCAAAGTAATCTTATACATTACAGGACCTACTCTACTCCGAATTTGGTATGATCCTATATAACGAGATGTTAATTTCTTGGCCCTTATAGACCTACCAATACCAATCAAAGGAGAAACTCAAAGAAACACGTGATCTCCTACTTCAAACTCTAACAGTCAATGCCGCTTATTAGCATAACTCTTTTGATAGCTTTGGGCAGTATGAAGTTTTTACTGAACAATCCTGATCTTCTCAGTGGTCTGATCCATAATATCAAGACTAATCATACTTCTTTTGCTCAATTCAACCCAACACAAGGGCAATCTATACTTTCTCTTGTATAATGCCTCATGTGATGCCACCTGAATACTCGAGTGAAAGCTGTTGTTGTAGGTGAACTTAGCCAAAGGTAAATAGCTATCCCAACTGCCTCTTCATTCAAGGATACATGATTGTAACATGTCTTCCAGAGTTTGTATTGTGCGCTTAGTCTATCCATTAGCCTATGGATGATAAGAGGTACTAAACCTCAACTCAGTACCCATTACTCTCTACAGTACTCCCCAAAACCTTGAAGCAAACCAGGGATCTCTATCAGACACTATATCTTTAGGTACACTATGTAGTTTTATCACTTCTCTCACATATACTTTGCATACTTTTTGACATCGTAAGTAGTCTTAACTGGCAAAAAGTACATCAATTGATCCATAATAACCCACACAAAGTTATATCTTACTTGAGTTCTTGGTAGACTGGATATGAAGTCTTTTAAAATGCTGCCTTATTTCTATTAGGGAATTTCTAGACGTTATAGTGTACCAGCTAGTTTATGATGCTTGATCTTCACTTTTTGACATGTAAGACATTGGCTCACAAACTTAATAACATCTCACTTTATACCTTGCCACCACTAATGCCTCTTTATGTCATAGTATATCTTGGTTACAACAGGATATATTGTGTATCTGCTCCAATGAGCTTCTTCTAATAGCCTCCTTCTAATCTCAAATTCACAGGTATATAGATTCGGTCTTTATACAAGATGAACCCATCATCACTAAACTAAAACAAAGTAGTACGACCTTCTTCTATATCCTCTCATACACTTGATAAAAACTTGTTTTTCAATTGAGCTTCTCGTATTTCTTTCCAAAACTCATTGGAAATCGTGGTTGAATGAATTACATTTAAAGTATAATCTGATGCCTTAAGCTATACTTCTAAGAAACACAACAACAATTGGTGTTCTTGAACCATTAATCCAACCATATGTAACGATTTTTGACTCAAAGCATTAGCTATAACATTGGCTTTCCTTGGATGGTACTTAAACTTAAAGCTATAATCTTTTAAGAATTCCATCTATTGCCTTTATCTTATATTGAGCTCTTTCTGATCTATAAGATATTTTAAACACTTGTGATCACTACACATATTAAACTCTACACCATAGAGATAATATAGCCAAATCTTGAGAGCAAACACTATAGTTGCTAACTATAAGTCATGTGTCAGATAACTCTCCTTGTGAGGTTGTAATTGTCTAGATGCATAAGCCACAACTTAGTTCTCTTGCATCAATACACACCTCAGACCTTTCAAAGAAGCGTATGTATAAACCTCATAAGGAAATCATGGATTGAGAATTATCAATATGACGACGAGTTTAACTTTTCCTTAAGCTTCACAAAAGTGGCTTCACACCGATCATCCCAAATGAAAGGCTGATTCTTCCTTATTAATCGAGTCAAAAGAATAGCAATATGCAAAAATCCTTGAATAAATCTTCAATAATATCCTACCAAACTTAGAAAATTTCATACCTTAATTACTGAACTTAGCCGTTCCCATTACAATACCATATCTACTTTATGAAGATCCACTTAAATCCCCTGAGTTGATACCATGTGTTTGAGAAATCTTACCTCCTGTTGCCAAAATTTACATTTGCTCAACTTGGCATACAAGTGGTTATCTCTTAGAATTCTTAGTACAGTCCTCAGATGCCTTGTGTGCTCTTCCTCACCCTTAGAGTATATCAATATGTCATCTAAGAACATAAAAATAAACTGATCTAAGAAGGAACAAAATATGTAGTTCATGTAGTCTATGAAAATTACAGGTGTATTCGTCAACCTGAATGGTATCACTAAAAACTCAAAGTGACCATATTGAGTACAAAATGCTATCTAGGTACATCATTAGCATTTACCCTTAACTGATGATACCTAGATCACAAATCTATCTTAGAAAACACTAAAGCTCCCACTAGTTGATCAAGCAAGCCATCTATTCTTGTTAGTGGGTACTTGTTCTTTACTATCACCTTATTCAGTTGTCTAATCGATACATAATCATAGGTTGCCATCTTTCTTCTTCACAAATAGGATAGGCGAACCCTAAGGTGACATATTAAGGCATATGAAGCCCTTCTCTAGCAACTCCTTAAGCTATTTCTTAAGCTCTATCAATTCTGAAGGAGTCATCCTACATAGAGCTTTTGATATAAGTTCGATGCCAAGTGCCAAATCAATAGAGAATTCTACTTCTTGTTTTAGTGACAAACCTGATACCTCATCTACAAACACTTTTGAAAACTTGCTTATAACTTGAATCTCATCAATATTACTATTGCCACTACCTTCCACCATGAAAAAAACTGCATAAGCTTGATAGCCTTCAAAAACTAACCTCTCAACTTGCACTACCGACAATTTTAGTTGATTGGCAGTTGTTGTGGAAATCACAATTGGTGTCATATGAACTAGCAGTAACACTATCTTTCTGGCATAATCTAAGGTAACATTATTCCTTACTAACCAGTCCATCCCAATAATCATATCTAGTCCTTGTATAAGAATTAAGATCAAATCTATCACTAAAGTTTTACCCTTAAAGCACAACTCAACCCTTTTACATACCTTACTAGTCTTGTTCAATAATCTAAAAGGCGCAGACACCTTAACAATATAAGGTAACTCATGCACAGGCAAATCCATCTTTTGCACACAATCATACGACATAAACCACTGAATAGCTCTCAAGTCAAATAAAGCCTCAACTCTTTGCTTGCGGATAGAAATTGTACCTGTGATCAGATTTGGTGCTATCTGAACCTCCTCTCGGGAAATCATCCTGTTACGATCAGTTGTTGCTCAAAAGCTCCCCCTCAATTCTTGGGGTAATCCTTTATAAAATGGCCTATGCCACTATAAATGTAGCATATCCAACACCTTTCAGGATGGTTCTGCCTACAATTATACATATAGGTGAGCATGCAATGCTTACACGAGATGTAGGGCAGTAACAATTTGACTCGACTACTATAGAGCTCTAGAATCTTTAAGCCTACTAAACCTTCTACCCTGGCCAATCACTCCTTACGATGTGATCCTCTACTAAACATCCTCCTCCCTAAAGATCCAGAACTACTAGCACCATAACTGCCTCTCTTGAATATCCCTCTAGTTAGGCCTAATGGAGTAATTCCATAACTGTCTATTCTCTTCTTAACATCTACCTCTTGACCTCACCTCACAGCTATATAAAGCCGATTATAAGTTTCCTCATAAGTAGCCTCCCCCAATAAGGCAATTTACCTTTTATATTCAAGACATATCTTTTCAATCAACCTCTTGGCTCTCCACTTACCATCATCCTTCCCATGCAAGTAAGTTATAAATTTTGAGAGCTGTTTGTACTTCCTCATAAATGGCTCCTTATCCATATCTCCTTACTAAAAAGCATAAAACTCTCCTTCCTTCTTATCTCTGAACATTGTAAGGAAGTGACAGTAAAAGAATCTCTCTCTGAATTGCTCCCAACTGAGCTGATTACCACTAAAGGGTCTTACCGAATGCCACTAATGCTTGGCATCCTCAATCAATTGTACTATGGCTAATACCATTTTTTTCTTAGATAAACATGGAGTGACCTCAAAGATTGTCTCCATTCTCTTAATCCAGTTCTCTACATCTCCCTCTCTTATACTGCTATTGAAAGTTAGAAAATTCAACTGTGAAAAAGTCCTCCAAACTCAGTCCATGGGAATTTCCTAATCTTCCTTACCAGTCACTTGCCTACTCCTTGAAGCATAGGAGGTCACTAGCCTACTGAATTGTATCTCAAGTTCTACTCTCTCTTCAGCATTAGGCCTTGCCTCTTGCTCTGGCCTTAGCTCCTCGTGATCCTTGTTATGGTTTAGGGCATCCTAGCTGGTTAGACTTCTTTAAATGTCTAGCATCACTTCCAACCTGCGTGCCATAATAGGGTCATTACCCTAAGGTTGTTCAAGTGGCACCTCTAAATCTTGCACATCTTGGGCATTCTGAGCCTGTGTGAGTCATGAAATTATACCATATCCTCTTATAGCTATTATAGGTTAACTATAGCTTTACATATCTTTCTCCCCTCCTTTAGAGTAAAGGTAGAAAAAGTCAGTAAACAGGTGTTAAAGGCTAAAAAGAGTAATGAATGTATAAAAGTTACCAACTAATATGATACAATGCACAAATAGAACAAAACCAAAGAAGACTGATACCAAACTGTAAAGTTCTAGCTCAAATTGGGCTTTATCATTCCCAATCACACAATCAACAATTACCAATAGAGTAATATTAAAGTAATAGCCTTTTTTTTGAATCACGGGATCCCAACTTCTTAAAACATATATTCAAATAAGAGGATTAGTAAAAGCATAAATGTAGTCAATGACTCTAAAAAGACAAAATATTCTTAACCATGAAAATGGGCCATGTGTCGTGGCATGTATCACATGTTCTGTGACATGTGGTATAGAGCAAAATGCTCTATTCTTGTTTGCATCATGTGCCACAGCAGGTAAATATTATGCTGCGATGCATATGACTGCAATTTTTGATAACTCGAAAGATGAAATTTTGCCATGTGTCATTTCCACACTTGACATCTAATTGGAGTGATTCAATCACCCACATAAAACTTAAAACATACACTAGCTAATGGAAAAAGTTTTAACTCAATCTGACGGTCCAATCTAAAATAGGACACTCGAGTATAAAATGTAACTTTTCTTTTAAAAACTTGCACTCTAAGCACTCAATTCTCATTTCTTATTTGATTAAACCACTTTATGCCTTGAATTAAGTCCAAAAGGATCACTATACTTGATTAACAACTTATACCACAAATATCATATAAATTGCCCATTTTGGCCTCTTAATGCCACATTACACAATTGTAGACTTATGTGAGGAATACATATACAACACATAGTCACATATATACAAATAGATTTGTTTCACTTTCCACCCCCTGACTCTTACATATGGGGCTCTTCCTCACCATATGGTCGGGAATTACAATATACTCGACTCTTCTAAATGGGGTTTCCCCTCACCATTTGTGTTAAGTTCTCACATACATGCATAATTAACAATCAATTTTACATTCAACACACATATATATAAGTGAAACAAGTTACACAATAAAATACACTTGCTTGTTTAGCATTTAAGCCTACCCATGTGCCCTCTTATTAGGGCATTCTCGGTGAGATGCAACATCATATACATATATCCAATCAAGTTTCACACTACATTTCAACACACAGTCATTTATGCATCCTAGTTGGCAACTCTATTATCACAACTTACTATACATTTATTTACACAAATGGTAGTCATACCACTATCAAGTAAGGCTACTCTTTCCTTAATTCCTTTTCCAGCCTTCTTGTGCTCTCTTCACCTATGTTAAAAAGTAACGGAGTGAGACATATGTCTTAGTAACTCAGAGGTAACCCTAATTACCGATTAGTAAGCAAAATCATAAATAAGTGATAAAGTAGCATGTGTATTAGTAAAAACAAAATCATATGCATATATAGGAATTCATTCTTATCAATCTCATTATGCTCATGTAATGCATGCCTAGTTCCACCTAGAGAAGTAATCTCTATACTTGAACTAAGACTTCTAGTTACATGGAACAAGGCCCACCATACTACTGCTCAAACTAGGTAATCCTCTTTATGTATGGGGGTCTCCTAAGGGTGTAGATTCCTACGAGCAACTCCACAGGTGCTTAATCTACATACTATAGTACCCCTTAGTCAATTCTCAAACACTTTACCTAAGCATTGATTTAGCTAAACTAAATTCCTTGACACATAAAATGATTCAATTAATACCTGTTAAATTTGTACGTCCATTATTTATAGTCCTTAGCCCTATAGACAACTCAAATAACCATAACAACCTCCTAACACATTCATACACCCAAATTCACCATTTAACCTAACTTTTAAGCTATTTTAAGCCTTAATCCTTAAAGCTTAACCATTCAACTTTATATTAGTCACAAAACCTTAGTTCTGTATTCAATAGCCCATTTTAACCCTTTCTTTTAGATTACAACACCTTAAAATTTCAAAATTTAATTTCTCAGACAATGAAATTCAACAAAAATGGGGTAGAAATGAAGCTTAGGATTGCACAATACTTACCCAGCAAGTTATTAATCGAAGCAAATTCCAAAACTCCAAATATGGCTTGCCCTAGTAGATAGGAGACTCTTCTCCTCTCCTACTACATTTCCCAGTACTTCTCCTATTGATTTCAAGAGCTGATCACGTCAGCTTTAAGTGATCCTTAGACAATGTGCCATGGAGCACGTAGTTTTTGCTGCAACATGTGGCATAATGAGTCTAATCTTATTGTGCTTGTGTGTTATGCCCCGGATTGTCTTTCCACCCTTCAATCATATATTACAACATCCAAACAACACAAAACACTAACTCAATACCTAAACCATAATCAATCTATTAATTACTAATTTACCTTGATTAGTAACTAGTTTCTGAGATTGAAATTCTAGATGTTATAAGAACAATAGAAGTAGATAAGTCTATTAGGTTTTAGGATGCAAAAGGAATTTATAAGAGGAGAGATGAATAACAATGAAGAAGATTTAATGAAAAAAATGCAGAAAAAGGAGAGATGAATAACAATGAAGAAGATTTTTATGCCGTGAAACCATCCTCTTAATGACTTGAAAACATATTAGATGAAAGTACTAAATGAGCATAGGAGGAGATGCAAAATAAAGAGTGATAAACCATTAAGAGCAAGAAAACTGGAAACCAAGATTGATGGCAAAGAGGAAGGAACATGCACGAATGAATGATGAAAACTACCTTAAAAGAGGAAAGGAAAAGAACACATTAAAGGAGATGAAAACATTGGCATGATGAAAATGTGAGAATGCCTAAAGAATTGTCAAGATGAAAATATGAAAATGCTAAGCAACAAAAGAAAAAGTAGCACAAGTAGGAATGAATTTTGAAAATGAGAGGGAAATCAAATTTGAAAAAGAGAGTGAAATAAAAAATGAAGCAAGAGGAAAGCACGACATTAGAGGAGAGCCGCTACTATTTATCCTAGCTGAAACTATTCATTTATGTGTGTCAAGAGCCATGTTGGAAGTTCGGCTCAGCTCAACAATAAATGATAAAAGAGATTGATGATTCTTATATTTTATTTCTTTTTTAACTAAAAAAAGCTTATGTATATGTATCTATTATAAAAATTTATTTATGCATATGCATATTAACAATTTCCTTCAACTCTAAAAGTTTTTGCTCAGGTTGATTTTAGCTTTTATAAAATAACTTATTAAATAATTAATGAATTATAATAAGATAGTTTGAAAATTATTTTAAATTTTAAATATCTCCATCTAATCACCTAATTATATAATTTTTTCTATAAATTATCTTTTTAATTTTTTAAGCAAAATATGCTTACCCAAATAATTACGTTGTAAATTTTAATGACCATAATATTTGATTCAGCTATTAATAAAATTCTAAAAATAAAAATTTTAAAATTTTACATTGTGCTGTTTTATTGAAAATTTAGTATTATTTGGAAATATATGCTTTAGGAATATATAATTATTGTTTGAAAAATTGTATTGCTAGTAGGATGAAAAACTAATATATATATATATATATATATTTATGTTTGGTATGAAAATTTCTTGTTTGGAAGTATATAATATTGTTTAGAATTCATAACTATTCAGAAATCATATATGGATGAATTGTTTGGTTGTGGAAGTTTATTTGGGAGGCTTGTTTGAAAATAAATTATACAATGTGGTATGCCCTTGGTCTTGCATATTTTGTTTAGTTATGCTTGGAATTGTTTGGATTAAATTGTTTAAAAATTATTTTGGATGCCCATTACATAGCCATATGATTAGATTTATGGCATACATTATGACATGTTAATATTGGTTATTAGGACCTTTATGTTTCATTCTCCATGGTTAATATTTTTATAGGAGTAAGTCAAGCTGAAGAAGCACTGGAAGCCTAGATTGATGTCTGAGACACTAACTTTTTGTGTAAGTTTCATTTAGTTAGCTAATGTATATAATGCCAACCTAGAAGCATATCTTGACTACTTAATCATTTGACATTATTTTAAGTGACTTGTATATGATAGTCGTAAGATTTGTGTCTGACACTCATTGTCTTAAGTTATTGTATTTAAGGATTTATATGAGTTTTGAGAATGAATTTATTATATTTAATTTTATATAAATTGTGTTGAGTGACTGTAACTCAACTTTGGTTTTTTTATGAGTTTAATAGATTATAGAATTTGTATATATTGTGGATGAATGGGTTGTGATCAAGTTGTTTACACTAAACATTGATTTTGGTTGTGATGTGAAGTGCCT